TAAAAGTCATACTACACAATCAATTTTACTGATAACTTCTGAAAATGCTTAAGTAGACCTGCAAATGTGGGTTAGTTTGAGACTCCCTATCTGCATCAGATCTGTATCAAATGAAGCATGCTTTACTTGAGTTCAAACTTGTACCTCTTAGGACACTTTGGGAATTCAAAGGAAAAATGAATTTTAACTTATTACATCATGAACATTGATGAATAATGAAAAAAAAAAAAAAGCCCTCAATGCTTGATTAGTTCTTGCCACATTTGCCTGCCATTATTTCTCAAACCACTTGTACATAAAATCACCGGCACAAAGGATCCTTCCCTCAAAAAACAGATTCCTCCTGGGGAAAGCAAAAAAAAAAGAGCAGGGAGGGGATAATGCGTTTGAATTCTTTAAAGTCTATTTATGTCCAATTTATTTTGGTCCTTAGGCCTTTGGACATGTTAGCAAGTAATTAATTTTTTTATGGCTGATAAGAGTATGAAACAGGCTTTTTTTTTTTTTTTTTTTTTTCCTCCAAATGTCATTCTGGTTTCTAAAAATTGTTTCTTCTTGCTAGACACAAGCCAGATGCCGGGAGCTGACCGGATGCCAAGTCTCAGGACTGTCCAGTCTCCCCTATCAGATTTTCAGAGGAGCCTTCTGAATATTCTCGAGGTTAGAAAACCCTTATCCCCCAGACTCACAGATGCTGCTCTCCCCCCACTCCCCACCGGCTCGGCACAGAACATCATTATCTTTGCTGAGCTTCTGTCTCTATGGCAATAACAGATGGGAAGTGCTGCGGAATTATTCATGCTCAGGAAAGGAGGCAGTCGAGGAGGGGGAGGTGGCGGGTGGGAGAGGGGGCGCGACCTGAGAGCACCGCGATGGATGGGGGCGTTAAGGACAGGAACTTGGGCGTGGGAGTGGGAGTGGGGGGAAAGGGGGAAACGAGAGGCTCGTGAGCCTTTGGGAAGAAGGGGGGGGGCAGGTTGGCATCTGCGGCTGGCTCCAAAGGCGGACCCCATACGAGCCACAGAGAAGCAGGAACACCGGGAGAAAATTGTTCAAAAACGGGGAAAATTGTTAAAAAAAGAAACAAGGGTTAGAGCCCGAGTCCTCGGAGTCGTGCACAGCGCCTCGGTGGCCTGTTTCTGTTCCTGATCTTGCGGTGGGGTGCAGGGAAGGGGATTTCTTGTCGGGGTTTCGAAACCTGGCGGGGCCCCCGGCTCGGCGGCAGAGTTCTGTGAGCCCATCGCTGACCCTGGAACCGGGGCCAGGCCGCCCTGAGGGTCACAGCAGCCAGCTCTTGGGTCGCGTCTCTCTCTCTCTCTCTCTCCACGTCTCCTCTCGAGTTTCCCTCCAAAACAACACACAAAACCCCTTCGGGACACACGATGGAAACATGTAATTTCTACCTCCGTTCTGCAACCGAGAGCACAGGCGGGTGGGTGGGGAGGGAGGCTGAAAAGTAGGGGCAAAACTGTTCCTCCCCCCCCCCCCCCCGCTCCCTCCCGGGTTTCGCCGGAGCCAGCACCCCGGCCAGGCCCGCCCCGTGGCGCAGGGAGGTCAGCCCGGGGAAGGCGTCTGGGCGGAGGCCGCCGGGCCAGGCGGGGGCCGCGGGGAGGGGCGCAGCGCCGGCAGCTGGCGGGGCGGCGGGGGCGGGAGGCCCCGCGGGGGCGGGGGAGCAGCCCGGCGCGCCCCGGGGAGCCGGGCCCACACATGGGGCGCCGCCACCCGGCTGCCTCCGGGGCGGGGCGGCCCAGCTGCGGCCGGCGGGGGCAGGGGCGGGGGCGGGGGCGGGTGGGGGAGGGAGGGTCGCCCGCGCCTGACCCTGGGCAGCGGCGCTCAGCCCCGAGAGGCCGGCCTCCGCCCCGCCGGCTGCTGGGGTCGCGCACAGTGCACCGCGGGCCGCCCTGCCCCCTCCCCCGCCCCCTGCGCGCGCGGCGGCCGAGCGGCCCCGGCGCCCCCGGGTCTGGCCCGTCACCAGAGCGCAGCGGGAGGGGGGGCGGGGGCGGGGCGCTGGCGGCCCCAGACAGCCGGCTGGGCGACTCGAGGAAGGAAGGAGGGCGGGCGGCGGCGGCGGCGGCGGGGGTGGGGCGGGGAGGGAACATCCTGTCTGCGCCGGGTGCACCGCAGACGGCGTCGCGCGCCAGCCGCCCAGACGGCGCGCGGGGCCAGGAGCGCGGGGGCGCGCCCGGGCGGGGGGTGAGGGGAGTGGAGGGGGTGCGCGAGCGCGCGCGCGCAGGACGGGGCGGGAAGCCCTGAGGAGCCCCCGTAGGCCGGACGGCGCGCGCGTCCCCGAGGGCCTGGGAGCTGCGCGGCGGCGGCGGCGGCGGCGGCGGGGTGGCGGGCCTGCGCGTGCGCGTGCGCGCGCGGCGCCGCCGCTGGCTCGGGCCCCAGCCTCCCCTCCCCCCGCGCCGCCCTCGCTCTCCCCCGGGCGGCCGGAGACGGCGGCGGCGGCGGCGTCTGCGGGAAGCCGTGTGTCTCCGCAGTGACGTGGGCGGGCCGAGGGCTCGGTGACGTCAGAGGGCTGTGTGTAGCGATGTGTGTGGGGTTCGGAGCGGCGGCGCCGGCACAGCTGAAGGGAGCGGGCGAGCGGCGGCGGCGGCTGTGGCGGCGGCGGGCACAGGTGCGGCCGGGGTGGACGCGGCGGGAGGCAGGGGCACGCGACCCCCGGGGGGCCCACGGCGACGGCGGGGGGCGGTGGTGTGGAGGGAGCGGGGAGTTCAGGAAGCTCGTCGAGCTTCCCCGGGGCATGGAGGAGGCCGGAGTCGGGGGTCCGGATGCGCGGTGCCGGGTGGGGTCGGGGCCACAGCGGGGCGCGCGGGGCGGGTGCCCTCCGGCGGGCCGCGGGCCGCGGAGCCCGGGCGGGGGGCGTGGGCAGAGCCGGGCGCTGCACTTGACTCGAGCCGCCGTCGGAATCCCGGAGCCTCGGACACCCGTCCCCGCCCCCCCACCCCCTCCGCCCGCCGCCCGGCTGCGCTCCGTGGGGATGCCCCGGGCTCACCCCGGCCCGCTGGCACCGGCGGCGGCGGGAGGCTCCCCGGGAGGCTCCGGGCTCGGCGCCCCACCCGCTCGCCCACCCCTCTCCCTCCGGCCCGGGGCGGGGGCGCGGGTGCAGCCTTCGGGGTGCCGGGGTGACACTCGAGAACTTCCCGAGGAGGGGGGGTGCGCGGGGGATTTCCGCCGGCCTCCGCGCGGCCTCCGCAGCGGGGCCGGGCTGGAAGGGCACTCGGGGTTGTCCCGGGAGCGCGGGGTCGGGGTTCGAAAAGGGGCCCCTGTTCCTGCGCTTCCCCTCGCCCCCTTCCCTCTCCGCGGCGCGCTGGGGGCCTCGTCCTCGGCCGCCCGGGGCTGGAGATGGGTGGGTGGCTGTGCGGGGGCGGAGGGTTTCGGGGCGTCGGGGACTCCCCCAGCCGAGGTCTTGCCTCCTGCCCCCGCCCCCCTTCCTCGGTTTGCGTTGGCGGAGGTGCTCCTGTCGGGGGCGCCAGTCAGCGCGTTGGCTGGTGGCCTTGGTGGTTTAACCCTTTGGTTCCGTTTTTCTAGGGTATGTCGCTGGGAGTTTGGGAGACAGACTTTTCTATTCTATTGGATAGCCTTTTTTTTTTTTTTTTTTTTTTTTCCCTCGCAGGAAAGAAGAAGAATCTTTTTTTTTATTTTTTCTTCCCCCCCTTTTCCTCCATTTGCATTCTTTGTGAGGTCTGTCTCTGCCTTGGTGCTTTTTGTCCTGGAAGTAGACTTGTTCAAGGATGGAGGTTCCCAGGCGTGGAGGCCATAGCTTTTTTTTTTTTTTTTTTTGGCTTCCATTCAGCAAATTCACTCACCTATTAAAGGAAAGTTAATTTTTTGCCTACCACCATTCCAGAAGAATAGCATACACTGGCTAAGTGAAATAGTGTATGTAAGATTGTAACTTCGTTACATGTGGCAGATAATGTTACCTTGTATGTTTCTTTTCCTTTTTTTTTTTTTTTTTTAAATGAGATGAAGGAATGGGTTCCTTTAGTTAAAATGGCATAATTGTGAAGCCTCTGGTACTGAGTTGTGGGTGAGATGATCTGTTGAAGGTTCTTCCTATTCGGAGTTAGAGTAGCCCTTGCCCTTTTGAGGGATGATATTACCCTTGTTCTCCAGATTGCTTTCCTACTTAAAGGAAAGTGGTTCTAATAATGGTGTTACAATGATAGAAGTCACTCAGGTGTCACCTTTGGTAAAGTGAACTCAGTTTAAGATTAAGAAACTGGTTTCAAACTGACCCTTTGGCCTCTGGAGCAGATTCAAACGTAACTCTCTCCCATCCCCCTTCTCTTCCAGATTAATTAAAAGAAGAAGGAATAGCAGTCCTTGAAGATAACTGGGCACTTTTTCTTCAAATCATCTTTAATTGTAGATGTTCAAGTGGAGCCAGAGGCTCTTCTTACTGGTGTGAGGGCTTATACAAGTCTTCAATTTGTCAACATAGACTGACATCATTTTTTGAGAAGACATTTTTCTTTTTTTCCTTTTTTGGTGTCTTGGTGCCAAAAATTAAATTTGGGTGCATCATTTTGACTTGTGCTTGTGTCTAGATTTTATAACACAAGTAATTTAATAGAATTTTGACTTGTTTTGCTTAAAACCAACCAAACCATTGCATTGAACCTGGAAATCTTGAACTGAGAGAATTGGCAACTTTATTTTAATACATATATCTGAAGACTTAAAAAAAAAAAAAGCAAAGGCTTTTTCAGAGGAGTGCCTCTTAAAATTCTTTATTATTGGAGACAAATTTTATAGCACTTTCAGTGAAATTATGCTAGAGTATAAGCAGAATCAAAACAGTTGCAAAATCTATTGAGTGACTTAGGGAGACCTCTCTTTGGAAACTTAAATTTTCTATGAGTTACCATAGAAATTTTTTTTTTTATAAATTACCATATGTAAGTTACCACAAGTATTGGTATATATTTTCTCCAAATAAGCAGCTAAATAATGCAAGTGTCAGACTTACTTATTTAATATAATCGTTTTTAGCAATGGAAAACCTACAGACGAATTTCTCCTTGGTTCGGGGCTCAAATAAAAAAATGAATGGGATAGGAGATGATGATGGCAGCCCTCCAGTGAAAAAAATGATGACAGACATTCACGCAAATGGAAAAATGATGATAAGCAGGATGCCAACAGTTAAGAAAGAACTTTTGGATGACTATGAAGCACCAATGGAGACTGATGGAGAGCATGTCAAACGAACCTGTACCTCGGTGCCTGAACCTTTACACTTAAATCCCAGTTTGAAACACACTTTGGCACAATTCCATTTAAGCAGTCAGAGTTCTCTGGGTGGACCAGCAGCGTTTTCCGCTCGGTATGCCCAAGAAAGCATGTCACCTACTGTATTTCTGCCTCTGCCGTCTCCTCAGGTTCTCCCTGGTCCACTGCTCATCCCTTCGGATAGCTCCACAGAACTCACCCAGACTATGTTGGAAGGGGAATCTATTTCTTGTTTTCAGGTTGGAGGAGAAAAGAGACTATGTTTGCCCCAAGTCCTAAATTCTGTTCTCCGAGAATTTTCGCTTCAGCAAATAAATACAGTATGTGACGAACTGTACATCTATTGTTCAAGGTGTACTTCAGACCAACTTCATATCTTAAAAGTCCTGGGGATACTTCCGTTCAATGCCCCGTCCTGTGGGCTGATCACATTGACTGATGCACAGAGACTATGTAACGCTTTGTTGCGACCACGCACTTTCCCTCAAAATGGTAGCCTACTTCCCACCAAAAACTCATTGGCTCAGTTAAAGGAAACTGGCAGTGCCTTTGAAGTGGAACATGAATGCTTGGGCAAATGTCAGGGTCTGTTTGCACCCCAGTTTTATGTTCAGCCTGATGCTCCCTGCATTCAGTGTCTGGAGTGCTGTGGGATGTTTGCACCCCAAACGTTTGTGATGCATTCGCACAGATTACCTGACAAAAGGACTTGCCACTGGGGCTTTGAATCAGCCAAATGGCATTGCTATCTTCACGTGAACCAAAAATACTTAGGGACACCTGAAGAAAAGAAACTGAAGATAGTTTTAGAAGAAATGAAGGAGAAGTTTAGCATGAGAAATGGAAAGAGAACACAATCTAAGGCAAGTTTTGTTTTTTTTTTAAATAGTAATATCGAATAGCAATAATGGTCGAATTTAAATATGCGTGTTAAGGAACTGTTTATGCTCATGCAACAACAGAAAATCCTGCTGTATGTAATATGTTTGTATCACACATTTTAGGCTATAAAATGCTTTTCTCTGTGTGTTATCACTTGCATTTCCAAACAACCTAGTGAGCGGAGTAAGATTATTCCCATTGTACAGATAGAGACTGAGGCTCAGAGATCAAGTGGCTTTCCTAAGATTATATAGCCAGGGAGTGGATTTGGGGCTTTTTTCCCTCCGGTCCTAACTTCTTTCTTTCACACATCCTGCTTTTTGATGATTAAATCTGTTGTTTTCCTAGGATTCAGGATAATTTACACTTTGGTGTTATCTCCATTTGCAAATGGTGTAATAGCTAGTCAAAACAGTTCTGGTGATGGGCTTGAAACAGCCTTTCTCTAAGGTACATCTAGGATTTTGACATTGTTAATATATGTGGGTATTTAAGCTTGATCATAATTGGAACCAAATGGAAGTGAAAGATTTGTCTGAAGAATTTGTGACTGTAGTAACCAAGATTCTTTTATGAAGAAAGGAGTAATTAAAAAAATGTGACAACTAAAATAAATAAAAGACTTTGGAGTAAATATTAACATAAAAACCTATCAGCAAAGAGAGCTTAAGCTTATTTTTCCAACTGCATTATCTGGTAGTCTAAACAAATATATTCATTCTAAGAGTTTGAATGCCTGGGTAATAGACAAGTTTTGGGTTATTAAATGCTCAGTTTGTTGGTCTGGTTTTAAATATATTTTTCTACTTGATTAAAATCAGCGTAATAGCTAATTCTAGGTGTTCAAGATGGCAAGCATTCTTCTTGAGCAGTTTTACATGTGTAATTTTAAGGTTGGCCATGTTTCACTTTAAGAATCTAGTTTTTCCTCTCTTAGTTTTTATTGAAACAATCTTTGTCCTTTCTACTTCACAGAAGAAATGAATGAAGCATATTAAATGCCAAGGTTATTCACAGCAACATGAGAACTTGGGCTAGAATGTAAGATTTGGTGTCTAGTGCTTTATTATGGTGCAGTTAAGGTTTTGAGGGAAATTTAATTGCAGTGTACTTTGAAGACGGGGATTTGCTCCTGAAGACCTATGAATAGAATTTTAAACTCTTAATTCAAGTTTGCTACTTGCTGCTTTCAAAGGGTCAGCGCACCTTCAAAATGCCTTGCCTGATACCACAAGATAAGTTCATTTTAAAAAAAGTATTGATTTTAGAGAGCGAGGAAGAGAGAGAGAGAGGTGAAGAGAGGTTGGTTGAGACATTGATTTGTTGTTCCACCTATTTATGCATTCATTGGTTGATTCTTGTATGTTATCTGACAGGAGGGTTGAACCCAGATAGTTGGCATATGGGGACAGTGCTCTAACGAACTGAGCTACCCGGTCAGGGTAGATAAATTCATATTGTTCAGGTGCAGTTATAACTTATTTTGAAGCAGGATTGAATTAAAGCCAGTTCTCTTTACAGGACCTGCATTGCTCCCATCCATGCTAAGGCTGCTGCTTAGAGATTCACTATATGCTCAAAATGTGGGCGATTCCTTTTGGTATTTATGATGTCTTGCTATTTAGGGGCTCTACCGTTTAGGTCATAAGGTAATGACATTATTTGCCAGATATTCTTGCTCTAGTTTTTGTTGGTCTGACAGCATTTTTGGGATAGATTACTTTGTCTAATATTCCTGCTCTGTGTTGGTGAGAAAAATATCTGAGAACCATGATGAATGTTAAAAAAAAACAACACCCACATGATGAATTTACTTAACTGAAACTGAGTGTGCTAGTGCTAGGGTTTGGTTAAAACTGAAATTATCCCTCATTTGGATGTAGCCTTTTATTGTCTCAGAAGTTAATAATTTGGATTCATTTTTTTATTTTTGGAAGAGGTGAGGTCCCCCCCCCCCCCCATCTTTTTGCTGTTATTATTTTTTGCAGTATTTCCTACTGGTGTATTTTGGCATTGTTTCCAAGCTTATATGAATTTTAAGCTACTTAAGGGAATTTAGAATTCCAGCATATAAAGCTTTTTAAAAAAGGAGTGTTATGGGAGGCTTGTGTGTATAATACATACTTGAGTGGTGGTTTTGTTGTGCTTGCCACATTGTATTTTAAATATTTATTCCTCATAACTTTGTGAGGTGGTTCTTTTTGAAGGTCTGTTGAACAAGTTTTCTCAGATGAACCAATCCCAGATGCTCTTCTTGGTTGTATAACTGGTAGATGGTAGAATCAAGAGTTGAATGCAAGTCTTTTGACTTGAAGTCTAGTAATTTTAACTTTCCCCCTTAATTTAGTAGCAGAAACTGAATTTTGAGAAATATTAACTTAAAGCAAATTTAGTTTTGTATAATGGTTTGTAAACTCTGTATTAACTTGTTTATACTCAGCTATTTAACTGGGAAGGGGGCAAGGAGAGAATCCTTGACTGGGGAGCATTTTTCATTGACTCCTGTGACAGTGAACTGGTTGCCAAACAAACCAAATTAGACCTAGAGAAAGCTCATTTAAAAAAAGTTGGCAGGCTTTTCTTTTCTTTTTCTTTTTTAAAATAAAATAATATACCGAATATATTAACCTTATATAAAGGACTTTATGTTTAGTGTGAATACTAGTGTGATTTTATATGTTTATGTAATTTATGTAGTTTATGTAATCAAAGTACTCTTTTTGGATAAAAAAAAACAAGAAAACAACCCTGAAACTCAATAGGAAAGTTTTTGAAATGAAGCAACTGTTAAATTATTTCTAAGGATGGAAATTATATTGGTAATGATCACCAAGCTATTTGCATAGCTAATAGCTATGTTTAATTTGCATAGCTAATAGCTATATTTAGATGGGAGAAGTAGGTGGTATAAGGTCAGTGTTCTAAGTGAAGAACTGACTGTATTCTATGTAGAAACTAAAGCTATATTTTTAAACTTTACTCAAGTCACCACCACAAGAAATACACTTGATTTTAGTTCTCTCTAGGTTTTTTTTTTGTAAAATGGCGTTATTAAACTATTTTTCTCTTTGTCATTTGCGCTTTTTTGTACTTTTATTGTTAGAAAAGTATTGTATTTAAAAGTGAACAAAGATATGCAAGAAAATTATATTCCTAATTTTTCTTAAAATCCTCAGTATGTATTATTTATTTGATCTAATTCTAATTTTGTTGAATCTTATAGGAAAAGATTAAGCAAATTGATAATTTGTATATAATATTTGAAGGGTGACATTTACTTAAGATTATTTTTAAGCATATTAGAAAAGCCCATTTGTAGTCAGTTGATAGATAATTATAGGTGATTTTTTACTGCTACAGCATGTAGCTGACAATCGGTAGGTAATTATAGGTAATTCTTGACTGTTACAGCACATAGATGACAATCTTCACTAAGTTATAGATGGTGTATGTTCTGTATTTACATTTATTTTTAAAAATATGTTTTTATTGATTTCAGAGAGGATGGAAGAGGGAGAGAGAGGGAAACATCAATGGTGAGAGAGAATCATTGATCTGCAGCCTCCTGCATTCTCCCTACTGGGGATAAAGCCTGCAACCCAGGCATGTGCCATGACTGGGAAGCCAATCCTGACCTGCTGGTTGCTTAACCACTGAGCAACACTGGCTGGGCAGTACATATATTTGTAAATTAAAATTTAGCTTTCTAGTGTCTAAACACATATTAGGTAGTAAAATGATACAGTTTTTACTCTGCTTAGGGGGGAAGAAAACAACCTATAGGTTATCTGTGATGCAAATAGATGACCTAAACATACCAACTTAAAAACTTAAATTTTTTCACTTAAAACATTAAATATTTCACTATTTTTAATTTTACATTTTAGGTTCATTTCTGCAGAGGTCATTGGAATAATAATAATGATACAGAAAATTTCTCCCCTCTTGTAACCTACTATACTTTCGTTTAGTAAGAAAATACACTTCCTTATTTAAGAAGTAAGGAGTAAGGAAATATACTACAGAGAATGAGCAATGATAAAGGGTAATGTTGGGACAAAATGTGCTGTGGTAGATATGATATTTTATTAGTGATATTATTTCCATTTTGTTATTAGTATACATTTTGATAAAGATGGGGGTAAATCAGAATCTTATGAAGTATTTGTGCTCATATGAGAGACCAATGTGAATATTTTTGTCTAACTTTCTAATAATTATCTTTTTGACTTTAGAGGCTTTTTCCTGTTTTCCCAGAACATAGTTTAGTGCATGGCACATCAGAGGCTCTCAGTAAAAAAAAAATAAAAAATAAAAAATTAAACTGAATAAATTTTTTAAAAATACCACCGCCACAGTTTTAGAATGTTTGGAATTTCCTGGAAAAATTATGTTTTAATCTTTAATAAATACATACGTAATTTGAGAATAAACTGATGAATAATTGATCAAATGAGAGAATGGATGTGAAGTATTTTGGATGTTAAGAGTCCAGAAATGCAGGATGGTATTCAAACTATTATTGAACTATTTACTATTATGAATTTGGGGATTTTTCCTTTCCCAAAACATCTTGATTTAATCTAGAACTATATGAAGATTATTTCTAAGACATGATAACTGAGTATTGGGTTCAAATGTATCTCCTCTTAGTTGTTTGTACATGGTAATTACACGAGTTGGATATTTGTTTACTTATTAGAATAAAATGTGCCAGAAGAAAGTGTAAAACGGTTTATGAGAGAATTATGTTTTGGAAGAATGTTTCAATTAAATCTTTAGATTGGCTTTGGGAATAGTGCCCCCTTATGGTCTGGGAAATACAGAGTCTAGATTTATATTCACTTACCATTAAATGGTAAGACATTAAAAATGTTGATGTTTTAAAAAAGGTTTATGATTTAAAAAAACTTAGATATTGACACTTTTGGTTTGAAAAAAATTAACTTTAATGAAGAAACAAAGGAGGGATAGGCTAGAA